GATCTTTTGCGGGATTTAGCCATTCAAAAGGCAAAAGAACTCAATCTTGTTCAATTTTATGACGAAATCAGAAACTCAGCTCATTCTTCCAAGGTATCATATCGACGACTAGCTATCTATTCTGGGATGAAAGGGACCTTGTGGCTTCAACAGTGTAATCCGCTCTTGCGTTCTCTTTTGTTCTTTGATCTCTATGGAGAGCATCCTACGTTAGAGCAATTCATACCGACTCTATGTACAAGATTCAGGTTCTTAAGAGTGCTCGAGTTTGAACCTCGCCTTGGAGGATGTTTGCACTTACCCCAAGATATAGATAAGTTGATTCACTTGAAGTATTTGGGATTCGAAGGTAATGTAAATATTCCGAAATCGATTCTTAACTTGTCGAATCTAGAAACTCTGCACTTGACCTTTGAGAACTCTCTACCAACCGAAATTTGGAAGCTGCAAAGTTTGAGACATCTAATTGGAGGCCTTACTTGGCCATTGCGGATAGACAATATGACAAACCTTCAGACTTTGAAGAGTGTACGAGATAACACTTGGACTAAAACAAATCCTGAAACATTGGTTAATCTTCGAGAGCTAGACCTATCTGTGCACCATGAAAGAGAGAAAAAGTTCACTTTCGATTCTATTGCCAAACTGAAAAGTATTCAAATTTTAACGGTCACGTTATCATATAGTCATTTTTTTTCTACATTGCAACCACTCTCTTATTGCCGATGTCTCCGACACTTGAGTTTAGATGGGAAGATGGAGAAACTACCAGGAGAAATGCATGTACTTTTGCCAAATGTAGAAAGCCTATGGTTAGGGAAATCCAAACTCGTAGATGACCCGATGCCAATATTGGAGAAGATGTTGAACCTCACAGAACTTAAATTAGTATACGATTGTTACAGTGGAAAGAAGATGGTGTGCACGGCAAAGGGTTTTCGCCGACTTGAAAGCTTGACACTTATTATGGCAAAGGATTTAGAGGAGTGGCAGATAGAGGATGGAGCTCTGCCAGTGCTTAGAGGTTTGCTGTTAGCAGGCCATAGCCAATTCAAACTTCCAGAAAGATTGGAATCAGTCCGTCTCCCTTTGTGGTGATTATTGTGCTTGTACTGTAATTTCTTTCAAATTTAATTTGTCTTTTGGCTATCAATTGGGTTTTTTATATTGTTTCAGCTGTAAATATGTGAGCCTCTTTACTCATCAAAGTACCATAATACTTCTTGGTAGCGGTATCAGCTTTCAGAGAAACAAAAGTGCAATATCAAATACTAAGTATTTGAGAAATTGTGAATATTTTAAAAATAAGTTTAAAAATATTTAGAAAGCATTAATACGAGAATCAGATTACTCTGGGTGGTTTTTGCACCTAAGCTTAGAAAAATTGAGTTTAATCCCTCTTCCAGTTGAATGGGAAAGAAAAAAAATATTAGTTCAATAACTCAAATATTGATAATTAAACTGATACAAAGAAACAATTTGGCGTCAAAATAACAGGTTGAGCATAATAACCTATAATTATCGTATCCTTCAACATTTATTTTGTCCTCTAAAATGATAAAAAAGGAACATGAAACTGCTGCTCTAAAACTGAAATTTTCTGGAAAAATTTCAGCTAAAGGTGGAGGATAAACAGGGGAACAAAGAGAAGGCTCAATAGAAATTTTTCAGCTTTGTTACAAAAAAAGGTGCTCAGTGGTAAGAGTTTCCGGCTGGATTTCTACTACTATATATTAAGAAATGTTATACGAATGGCCAATAAATGCAAAAAATTCAAGAACCAATCAACACATGACAATATTTAACTACTCGGAACTTCTGGTGGAGATTTTATGCTAACGACACCCAGAGAGCAGAAAGTATGCTTTGTTGAAAGGAAGTGTTAACAGTTGAAGATAAAACTTGGGTCCAAGGGGCCCAAAAGTAAAGAGATCATAAAGTTTATAAGAAGGAAGAGTAACATTACGCAACAATATTAGATTAGTCAATTAGGCCTAATTAAGCCCAAACACAGAATATGAGACAAGAATAAAATGGGTCAATGCAAAACAACGAGCCCAAACCCAAATTGTGATCACAAACCCACGAAAAATTACTTTGAAAAAGTAAATTTTCATTGCAAGATGGCAATCTCATTTACAGTTACCTCTGCTGCGCAAACCAGCAGAAGTTAAGGGCTGGTTATTGCCAATTTTTGCCACCACAAAACATTAGTAAGTAAACGTTAGAGTCAAGGCTCTATAAAGGCCAAGTGTGTTGCATGACGTGAAGTCGTACATTTTACTCCAAAACATTACTCCAACATCCTATACACTCATATTTGATAGTAATTGCATACTTTCTCAAGTACATATGATTCACTCAAACATCAGAGAGGTAAAGAATCTTTTCCTAACACCATTGAAAGAAAATCCAACCATCAGGTTGTAAAAGAAGACAACTTGAGATTAGGTAAAGAGTCAGCAGTAGCATTTCCTTCTTTAAAAACATTTGAAATTAACACACTCATATAGCTGCTTTGGCAGAAGGTTCTCACAAGTTGAAGGGAATATAATTTACATATGTAGTAGTTGTTGACTAAATGGCAGATCAATTAAAATTCCAAATGGAAGGACTAATTATCATATAATTATACAGTTAAATATAAAGGATAATGCAGTAGGTATTGACTAAAGCTTAGCTAGGGTAATAAAATAGTCCAATGGACAACTTTGAATTTGGAAAATTTAGCCAATGTTTAATTAAAGCACCAAATATTTTAAGGTAAGTATCGACTAAAATCAAGGGGCTGTATTATATTTATTTTCTCATACGTGATTTGTTAATCCAAAACATCTTTTTCTAGGATCTTCATGATCTTAATTCCTAATATTCTCTTAGCATCTTCATGATCTTTTCCTATCATCTTCATGATAATGCAGTAGGCATTGACTACAAAATGATGAAGAAAAATCTAATCAATTTACCCTCCTTAAAGTTTCAGTGAATAAAAATTCCTTCTGATGTTTAAAAAATAACAAAAATCCCCTCGCCATTATGAGTAAACGAATATTGACCTTATTACTCTCCCTAAAGCTTATGGTTCATTTACTCATGTTACATATTCATGCATCCAACAATTATATAAATTACATAGTATACCAAATTCTGAAGTTTGAAGTTCAACACAAGTTATTTATTTAATTATTCCGTAAACACGTGCTCATTCTCTAGCTATTGTATGAATAAAACTTAAATTAATTTATATCTACAATAACTTCTCTCTATTTCCTCAGTAATGTTTTCTTTCTCTCCTTGCATTTTCAAACTATCAATTACTGGTTTAGTCTAATCCATACCAAGTGAATAAGGTAGGGTTTTTGTGTTATTTTTCAAACTAAATGAACCTAATTAATTATAGCAAACCTCGGGATAGTTAATTAAAGCACCAAATGGAAGGTTCTCACAAGTTGCAAGCAATATTATATAAATTACATATGTAGTAGTTATTGACGAAATGGATATCAATTAAAATTCCAAATGGAAACATTAATTATCATATAATTATAGAATTAAATATATAGGATAATGCAGTAGGTATTGACTAAACTTTAGCTAGAATAATAAAATAATCAAATTGACAACTTTGAATTTGGAGAATATAGCCAATAATTTTTAATTAAAGCAACAAATATTTTAAGGTAGGTACCGACTAAAATCAAAGGGCTGTATTCTTTTAATTTTCTCATACTTGATTTGTTGAGCCAAAACATTTTATCCTAGCATCTTCATGATCTTAACTCCCAGTATTCTCCATAGCTCAATATCACTATAAAAATGATGAAAAAAAATCTAATCAATTTACCCGCCTTAAGTTTCATAGAATAACAAAATCCCTTTGAGGTTTAAAAAATAACATAAATAAAACAATATGCAATCTAGTTATCATTAAAAAACAAACAAAATTAGATTGATTACTTAAGGGGATCCATTAATTTCACCTGTGACTGAAACAGAAAAACTCTAAGAAAGTTCATTCTTCTTATCTTGGTTCAAAAATAAAAAAATAAAAAAAAAATTAAGGAAACAGTTTGTGAAGTATGGTGGATGGAGTTGCCTTATATCTGGTGAAGAGGCTTGGAGATAGACTATCTAATCCAAGAAGCAGCCTTCTTCCGAGGCATAAGAAGTGAAATGGAGTCACCAATATAATAATATGTAGATAAGAAGAACAATTTGCGCAAGTTGTCTATAAACTGCCGACATTTGATAAAATTAAATAAAATGACATGCAATTTGGTTAAAAACCAAACAAAATTATTTTAATTATTTAAGAGAATATTTCTGTCTCTCTGATGCACCAAAACACACAAAGAAAGTTAATAGAATCACTTGTTAACTTATGTGGTACCATTGATGTGGAATAATTCTAAGAGAAACAACAGTTTTACATTTAAAATTATTGATAATTCTATTATTAATATCTTTTTGTAAATATTAGTTCAATCATAAATTAATGAAGGCTAGATTAATTACATTTATATCAAATAAATAAACTTTATACATCAATATTACCTTGACCAATCACTAAGTAACTTAACGTATAAAAATCTGAAAATTTATAAGTAGCTGTATTCTCACGAAGCTATAGACTATCTGATGAAAAATTGTTTCCTGTTAAATGATTTTTTGTTTTTTCATCTCTTGATAGTACTTATAATTATATGATGTCAAACAATTTTAATATTTCGTAAGGATGGAGTCTCATTGAGATTGACATAATTCGATATTTGGAATACTGTCATATTGCATATAAATGATATGATTAAGATTTTTCGAGCCGGGTTCTCCAAAAGTTTAAAGAATTATAATATGACCAATTGTCACACCGAAACAATTTAAATACCAATTCAACTACACATACAAATAACCACTAGAATGATTAAATAAGATCTATACTCTCTAGCTAATGGCAAACAGGCATTCAGCAGCTCAAAGTCATATAAAACATCAACATCTTTTAATTGAGCATAACAAAATAAAATAAAAGGCATTTGTTATTTAAGGGAATATTTCTGTCTCACTGATGCACCAAAACACACAACGAAAGTTAATCACTTGTTCTTCCCTTAGTTTTGAGAAACAGCTTGGGAACTATGGTGGATGCAGTAGTCTCATTTGTGTTGGAGAAGCTTGGGGACTATCTCATCAGAGAAGCAATCTTCTTAGGAGGGGTGAGAAGTGAAGCAGAGTCGCTGAAAAAAGATCTTGAATGGCTGCTTTGTTTCATAAAGGATGCTGAAGAGAAACAAGTTGATCATCCTTTGATACGTCAGTGGGTATCCGACATCCGAGATATTGCTTACGATTGTGAGGATGTCTTAGATGAATTTATGGTCAAAGTCACTGGTGGAGAGTCATCAAATGTGCTCAAGGTCGAAGAAGCAGAGACATCGACAAGAAAGCAAGGGCTTTTTACTTCAATCAAGAAGTGTTCTTGCCTTGTCCCTAGAACATCCAGTCACAACGCCTCCAAAACATCCAGTCGCAACGAAGCCAACTTATGCAGCAAAGCCAAGGAAAAGGTCAGCCTACATAGCATAGGCAAGGAGATTGAAGGTCTTAAAAAGAGCCTTAAAGAAGTCTCTGATAGATGTGGAATGTATGGCCTCAGAGACATTAATAACAAGTGGGAAGGACAGAGCAAAGTTGTTCGCGAATTCAAGGAAACAAGAAGAACCAACTCTTTTGCATTCGAAGAGAATGTCATTGGCTACGAGGACGATAGAAGAACATTGTTGAGTATACTACTTGACAATGAGCCACGACGTTTTGCAATCTCTATTTGGGGCACGGGTGGTTTGGGTAAAACAACACTTGCCAAAAAATTGTACCACAATTATTTGGTAAGGAATAAATTTCAACAGTTTGCTTGGGTCTGTGTATCTCAAGATTACAACATTGAGGAACTTATTCGAAGAATCATAAATTCTTTTCATTTCATGCCGCCGACGGAGAAATTAGAGGAGATGAAGGAAGAAGCGTTGAAGAGATATCTTTACACATCTTTAAAAGAAAGCTCATACTTGGTGGTGATTGATGATGTTTGGGGAAAAAAAACTTGGGGGAGACTCCTAGAAGCCTTTCCAAATAACAACCATTGCAGTAGAGTAATTATGACCACTCGCAAAGAAGACGTAGCTGATTGTGCAGATCATGTCCATAAACTTCGATTTCTAACTAAAGAAGAAAGTTGGCGGTTATTCTGTTCAAAAACCTTCGGAAAGGCAAATGAAACCAAAGAAATGGTGAAGTTTGGAAAGGAAATGTTGAAAAAATGTGGTGGTCTGCCACTTGCCATTGTTTTATTGGGTGGGTTATTGTCTAAAAAGAGTGCACAAGAATGGCGTTTGGTACGTGATTGCATTTGGCTACACCTAAACCGTGATTCGGACAATCATATATATTATTTATTGTCTTTGAGCTTCAATGATTTACCTTACAAATTGAAGCCATGCTTTCTCTATTTAGGCCTGTTTCCAGAAGATTATGAAATCGAGACAAGAAGACTAATACGACTGTGGGTGGCTGAGGGTTTTATACCTCAAAATGAAGGAATAATGGAAGATAAGGCTCATTATTACTTGAATGAGTTGATTAAAAGGAGCTTGATTCAAAAAGATAAAATGCATAGAGAGAGGACTTTGACATGTCGTGTCCATGATCTTTTGCGGAATCTGGCAATTGAAAAGGCAGAAGAGCTCAACCTCTTTCACATTTACGGGGTAAATAAAGGTTCAACTTACTATTCTAGGACACGACGACTAGCCGTTTATTCTGGAATTGAAAGTAACTTGCAGCTTCAACAATCTAGAGTCTTGTGTTCCCTGCTGTTCGTCGATGTCTGTTACACAGAAGCAATGGAAGAGTTACCAACCGTGTGCTCAAGCTTCAGGTTACTAACAGTGCTCGATATTCAGAATTTGAGTATACAAACAATGCCGCAAGAAATGGGTAAGTTGATTCACTTGAAGTATTTGCGATTTTCACAATCTCCACTTAATTCAGATGTTGCACCATTCATTCTCAATTTGGTGAACCTACAAACTCTGATCATACACCACATTGAGTTGCACCCTGTGCTCCCCACTGAAATTTGCAAATTGAAAGAGTTGAGACATCTAATTGGACGTTTTGAAGGGTATTTCCGGATAGGTGATTTGAAAAACCTTCAAACCATGAAGCAAATACCACTGGAGACTTGGATTAAAACTAATCCAGAGAAGCTGGTGAATCTTCGAGAGCTGGAAATTGTAGGTTATGATGTAAAAGAAAAGTTCTGTTTTGATTCTATTGCCAAACTGAGAAGTCTTCAATTTTTAAAAGTCTACCTAGGAAGATCTGGAATTTCTTCATTGCCACCGCTCTCTCATTGCCAAAATCTGGTAGAGTTGACATTAAGTGGGAAGATAGGGAAACTACCAGAAGAAATGCCTGAATTTTTCCCAAATCTCGAATACCTAAAGTTGGATTTCAGCGAATTTGTAGATGATCCCATGCCTACATTAGAGGAGCTGCCAAACCTGAAAGTACTTTATTTAGGCAGTGATTCTTATAATGGAACGAAACTTGTCTGCAGCAAAGATGGTTTTCATCAGCTTGAAATTCTACTTCTTTTTGAGAGACGTTTACAGGAGTTGCAAATAGAGGAAGGAGGTATGCCTAAGCTTAGAAGTTTCGTCAGCTCAAGTAAAGCATGGAATTTCAGAATTCCAGAAAGACTGAAGAACCTCCCTCGCCCTGAAAAGTGGGAATGCGAAAGTTATATCGTCGAGGAGTACTAGTGGTGTATAGTGGGCTTGTGTTGAATTTTCTTTTGATTCGGTTTGTTTTCTGGCCGACAGTTCAGTTTGATATATCACCATGTAATTTGTATTCCAACTTTTATACTATTTAATTTACTGTTTCATTTTTAATTTCAACTTCTTTACTCATTAAATTTCTACTATATTTCTTGGTTCTGATTCAACTTACAAAGAAGAGCAGCAAATTAAATCTTCATATTATCTCCTGAAAATCCTGACTTTTTAAGAATACAGTTAAAAGTTTTTTTGGTGTCAGAAAATATAAATTTTCTAGAGTAAGAAATAACGTCGAAATTTTAGTGAACTTACAGTGTAGAGGGCAGGGAAGATGCAGAAACAAGGCCATATACTGATCTAGTAACCCATTGCATGCTTACTATTTCCTAATCAGTATTGTTTTACCTTCATTTGTTAGTTGTGATTTCAGCCAATTCTAATACAAAGAAACAAGAATGCAGTAGCAAATATCACGTAAAGTGCAGAAAATAAAATTTGGAAATGTGAAGTGAACAGAGGGGAAAGCAACAGAAATTGCAAGAAAATCTTCTGGGTTCTCCAATCTGACTTTTCCTTTGCCAAGTTTTTATCCAGTTGAATCATTGTTTTTGAAACAAAGATACACATTTACTGAACATAGTCATCAATTACAGGCTTACAATTGGCAATACAATCTTGAGTACTAGACCTTACTCTATATTTTTTGTTGAATGATATAATGTTCCGCCTTTTATTTGAGAATATTTTGTCATCAAATTCATATTTTATTTTTGTTTATCTAGAGAGAGAGGGTGAAGCTACCGAGTGGGAGCAGGGGAAGTTGCAGAGAACTTTTCTGAGTTTTGCCAAATCTTTAATGAAATTCATCTTCTTCAAGTGAAATATTTAGAATGGCAGGTAGAGGAAGGAGGTATGACTATGCAGCTTAGAGGTTTGAAGGTTCCATAATATTTCCAAGTTGAGAATTCCAGAAATACTACTGCAGAAAGTAAAAATATTAACAAATTGTAAGCCTCATTTCTGATTTAATTCTGGTGATTATCATATTTGGTTTGGATTAGGTTTTCCTTCAATTTTTGTTTTGGGTTTCTATTGGAGAATCCTTATTCCTGCTTTAATTTGTTGCTTGTGATCCAGCAGCTTAAAATGAAACAAGAATTCAGTAGCAGAAATTGAGTAGATTACTGCAGGATCCTGATTTCTTTTACTAGCTAATTCAATTCATCAATCATGCTTTTGTCTTTGTACTTTTTTCTGTCTTTTCCATCTTTCTTTTCAATATTAGTTGTTGGTTTGACTTTGACGTGTTAGAATTTCTCTTTAATTTATTTGATTTTAAAGGATTTAAAAATCTCCTGAAGACATTACACCTGTATGAACATGAAGAAAGTTGCGTGGCCTTGACTTAGTGAGACCAACACAGTCGGCCATGTAATGCCAAATTCTCGAAATAGAAAAATCATTCAAGTCCTACGGTCAGCTAAGAAGACCTTTTAAGACCGCCACCGCAACAAGGGTAACGTAAAGTAGTGGTAAGTGTTTAATGTCTTAAAGTATTTTTAAGAGAATGTCAAATCAGTCTTTTTGTTATAATGTATTTTTGTAATCGTTTTTTGTTGAATTCAAGAGTTCTTCCTAAGACTGGGAATATGAAAGTTATATCATAAATGAGTACTAGTGGTGTATATTGGACTTGTGTTGAATTTTCTTTTGATTTGATTTGTTATCTGGCCGACTGTTCAGTTTGATATATCACCATGTAATTTGTATTTTTACTTTTATGCTATTTAATTTACTGTTTAATTTTTAATTTCAACTTCTTTACTCATTAAATTTCTACTATATTTCTTGGTTGTGATTCAACATTTCAACTTACAAAGAAGAGCAGCAAATTAAATATTGATATTCTCTTCTGAAAGTCTTGGGGTGCGTTTGTTTTGTTATTTTGGATAAGATTTTGGGAATAATATTGGGTAGTTGAATATGGTGAGTATTACGAGGTAAAATTAACAAAAAACTCCCTAGGTTTGCTAATTTAACTAAACACCCCAATATATAAAAATTTTATAAAATGACAAAAACACCCCTACCCACCCGCCCACCCACAGTGCTAGATTCTGGCTACCACTGTCGAAATATGGCCGAAAAATGGTGTTACGATGCAGACCAGTCGAATCTGGCTAGTCGTGCGTCAATATGGCCTTTTCCGACCAGATCCACTGTGGATCTGACCGGAAAAGGTCAGATCGGTGAATTACCAGCTAATTTCGGTCATTTCTATGCCATTGTGACAGATTCTGACAACCACCAATGATGGTTGCAGGAATCTAGCAACTATGGGTGGATGCGGGTGTTTTTGTTAATTTTTAAACTTTTTTTCTAGGGGTGTTTAATTAAATTAATAAACTAAAGGGGTCTAAAATAATTAAAAATAGAATAGTATTTCCCAAATAATTAAACAACTAGGTATTTGGGGAATAGGGTTTAAAATAATAACACAAACGGACCCTAACTTTTAAAAAAATACAAATCAAGTTTTTCTGGTGTCAGAGACTCGGAAAATATAAATTTTGTAGAGTAAGAAATATCTACGAAATTTTAGTGAACTTACGGTGTAGAGGGCAGGGAAAGATGAAGAAACAAGGCCATATACTGATCTAGTAACCAATTACATGCTTAGTATTTCCTAATCTATATTGTTTTACCTTCATTTATTAGTTGTGATTTCAGCAAATTCTTAGAAAATAAAATTTGGAAATCTGCAGTGAACAGAGGAGAGTGCAGCAGAAATTGCAAGAAAATCTTCTGGGTTCTCCAATCTGATTTTTGCTTTTCCAAGTTTTCATTCAATTGAATCATTGTTTTTGAACGTAGTCATCAATTACGGGCTTACAATTGGCTATATAATCTTGAGTACTAGACCTTACTCTATATTTTTGTGGAATGATTTAATGTTCAGCCTTTAATCTTTAATGAAATTCATCTTCCTCAAGTGAAATATTTAGAGTTACAAGTAAGAGGAAGGAGGCATGACTATGCAGCTTAGAGGTTTGAAGGTTCCATAATATTTCAAGTTGAGAATTCCAGAAATATTACTGCAGAAAATAAAATTATTAACAAATTGTAAGCCTCATTTCTGATTTAATTCTGGTGATTGTTATATTTGGCTTACGTTTTCCTTCAATTTTTTGTTTTGGCCTGCAGTGGGGTTTCTATCTGAGCATCCTTATTCCTACTTTAATTTGTTGGTTGTGATTCAGCAGCTTAAAATGAAACAAGAATTCAGTAGCAGAAATTGAGTATATTACTGCAGTATCCTGATTATTTTTACTAGCTAATTCAATTCATCAATCATGCTTTTGTCTTTGTATTTTTTTCTGTCTTTTCCATCTTTCTTTTCAATATTAGTTGGAATCTTATTGGTTCGACTTTTACGTGTTAAAATTTCTCTTTAATTTATTCGAAAGTGGGACATGCACCAACAATTTGATTTTAAAGGATTTAAAAATCTGCTGCAGACATTGCACCTGTATGAACATGAAGAAACCAGCTCCAACTACGCTTGCATTAACATCTGTCAATTGACAATTTTCACGTCAACATCTTTTAAATTGGCAGAAAGCCAGGCCTTGATTTAGTGAGACGCACACAGTCGCCACCGCAACAAGGGTAACGTAAAGTAGTGGTAACCTATTTATTAATTCCTCCAGAAGTTCAAAATTCAAAGGAGCTGAGCATTGATGTTACACTACCATTGAATTATTTCTGACTTTTTGGAAGACAATGACGTTAACCTACCGTTGGTTGACATTCGGTTCCATACATTCATATGAAGTTTGGTAGGTTCAACAATCTGAAAAGATAGCATATGAGAAAAGTAAAACAAACACACAGAAAGAAAGAGTAAGATTAGTCTGAAGCACAGAAACTCAAAAGAAATTTAACAATAAAGAGAGAAAAGGCAGCTTGAGAGGAATGGTGGATGCAGTAGTCTCGTATGTGGTGAGGAGGCTTGGGGACTATCTAATCCAAGAAGCAGCCTTCTTACGAGGAGTGAGACGTGAAGTGGAGTCGCTTAAAAAGGATTTGGAATGGATGCTTTGTTTCATAAAGGATGCCGAAGATAAACAATTTGACAATGGTTTGATACGCCAGTGGGTAACCGACATCCAAGAAATTGCTTATGATTGTGAGGATGTCTTGGATAAATTCATGCTCCAATTCCATGAGGAAGGGACTGCCAGGAGAAGGCAAGGACTCTTTGCTTCCATCAAGAAGTACTATTCCTGGATAGTCGCTAGAACAGCCAGTCACAAGGAGCCCAATCTATACAGCATAGGCAAGGAGATTGAAGCTCTCAATAAGAGACTTAAAGAAGTCTTTGATAGATCTAGAATGTATGGTCTTAAAGCTATGGATAACAAGCTGGAAGGAGACAGCAAGGCTCTTGGCAAATTGAAACAACTAAGAAAAACCACCTCCTTTGCACTTGAAAAGCATGTCGTTGGCTTTGAGGATGATACTAGCACATTGTTGGCTAAACTACTTGAAGATGATTCAAGGCGTTTCGTAATTTCTATATGGGGTACGGGTGGTTTGGGTAAAACAACTCTCGTCAGAAAACTTTACCACAGTAGTCAAGTCAAAAGTAAATTTCAGCGATGTGCGTGGGTTTCTGTCTCTCGAGATTACAATATCGAGGATCTTCTTCGAAGAATTATAAAGTCTTTCAATTTCACAGATATGATAGATAAATTAAGTGAAGAAGAATTGAAGAGATTTCTTCATAATTCTTTGCAAGGATACTCATATTTGGTGGTGATTGATGATGTATGGGAAACAATAGCTTGGGAGAGCCTCAGAATAGCCTTTCCAGAAAACAACAACGGCAGTAGAGTAATTATCACCACACGTAATAAATTTGTTGCTGAGTTTTCAGATGAGAGAACTTATGTTCATAAACTTCGGTTTCTAAGGGAAGATGAAAGTTGGGAGTTATTTTGCGAGAAAACTTCAGGGAAGGCAAACGAAGATGAAGGACTGTGGAAGTTGGGAAAGGAAATGGTGCAAAAATGTGGTGGTCTACCACTTGCTATTGTTGTATTGGGTGGGTTATTATCTACAAAGAGATCACAAGAGTGGCGCTTTGTGCGCGGTCATATCTGGCGAGACTTAAGCAGCGGTTCGACTGAAATTGAAAATCTATTAGCTTTAAGCTTCAATGATTTACCTTACCAATTAAAATTATGCTTTCTTTACTTAGGCCATTACCCAGAAGACCACGAAATCCAGACATGGCAGCTAATTCGACAGTGGGTGGCTGAGGGTTTCATACCGCAAAATGAAGAAATAATGGAAGACGTAGCTTATCGTTACTTGAATGAGTTGATTAATAGAAGTCTGATTCAAACAGATAAAACACGAGCAGGGAGGGTAGTAACTTGTCGAGTCCATGATCTTTTACGAGATCTAGCCATGCAAATGGCAAAACAGCTCAATTTGTTTCACATTTACGATGAAATAAAAGGTTCAACCTTGTCGTCGAGTAAATCATCATGTCGACGACAGGTTATTTATTCTGGAGCAGGAGCGTACTCCCAAATATTACAGCGTCATAATCCACTCTTGCGTTCCCTAATCATCTTCAACTTGCGGCAGCGAGACATTCTAACAATGTGCACAAGATTTAAGTTGCTAAGAGCAATCAATCTTTCCTCTGTACTTTTTGAACTGATAATTCCTGAAGAAGTAGGAAAGTTGATTCACTTGAAGTATTTGGTACTGAGATATTCAGAAGTCAAGTATGTTCCAGAGTCCATTCTCAACTTGGTGAGCTTACAAACATTGGACATTATCAGCGGTTCGTGTCCGCAGATGCCAACTGAAATTTGTAAACTGCAAGAGTTGAGACATTTAAGTGGAAACTTTTCTGGGCAATATTTGCGGGTAGACAATTTAACAAACCTTCAGACTTTGAAGTACATAGAAAGCGAGACTTTGTCAAGGACTAATCTGGAGAAATTGGTCAATCTTCGAGAGCTGGGCATAGTATATCACGATGAAGAAAAGGTGTTCAATTTCAATTCTATTGCACAACTTAAAAACCTTCGAAGTTTATTGGTTCATCTACTGGATAATCCCTTTGATTCATTGCAACCACTCTCACATTGCCAAGATCTCATGTACTTGAGCTTATGTGGACGCATAGAGAAACTTCCCGGAAAAATGCATACAGTTTTGCCGAATCTGGAATACTTACGGTTAGAGTTCTCCTACCTTGTGGTGATCCGATGCCTATATTAGAAAAGTTGCCGAACCTGACTGTTTACATCTGGCCTACAGTTCTTACTGTGGAAAGAAGCTGGTCTGCAGGAAATATGGCTTCGTCGCTTAAAAGTCTGTATCTTAATCTGAGGGAATAGAGGAGTTGCATGTAAGGAAGGAGAGCGATGCCCTTGCTCAGCGGTTTAAGCATTGTAAACACTGCAAATGAGATTCCAGAGAGATTGTATTCAGTCCCTTGCCTGGCTGAATGGGAATGCAGAAGAGATTTCTAGAGGAATGGCTATAATCAAATAACTCAAGCTACCTACTCTGATTCGGGAACTGAATGGTGAGTTTATGTTGTGCTTCAGAATGAAATTTGTATTCCGACCTGTTAATTTATTATTAGTGTTTGTATTTCGAGAATGAAATTTATTACTCTGATTCTGGAACTGAATGGTGAGTTTCATGTTCCTTCAATTTGTCTTTCGAGAATGAAATTTGTATTCCGACCTGTTAATTTATTATTAGTGTTTGTATTTCGAGAATGAAATTTATTACTCTGATTCTGGAACTGAATGGTGAGTTTCATGTTCCTTCAATTTGTCTTTCGAGAATGAAATTTGTATTCCGACCTGTTAATTTATTATTAGTGTTTGTATTTCGAGAATGAAATTTATTACTCTGATTCTGGAAGGTTGCCAGAAGCTTTTCCTCCTCTGTTTTCAAATTCAAGTTATTCTGCAGATGTTGCAATCTTATCAGTTTGGCTTTAATGTGTTAAAAGCTTTCCTTTAATTTAGTGGAAAGTGGGACATGCGCCATTACTGACTAATAACAGTGGATAGAAATTATAGTTATATGTATAGATATCGAGATAGAGGGAGAACTTACAGAGTAGAAGGCAGGGGAAGTTGAAGAAAACTTGTCAGGGTTCAGGAATCTGATTTTCTAAGTTTTCATTAATTCAATCATGGTTTTGAAACATTATCATATATTGAGTTAGTAATCAATTACATGCTTACAACTTGCCCGTCAATTTTACCGCCCAAGTTTGCAATTACAGGGATATCGTTACCTCTGTGGATCTAGCCGAGGAATTGATAGTGGTGATTGTTATGTTTTCCTTCAATGGTTTCTTTCGGCTTCAGTCTGGTTTTCTAATTGAAGTGGACAGAAAATATTAAGAAAACAGAGGAGAAGGCAGGGGAAGTGATGAAAATTTTCTTGAATAATACTATGCTTAAAATTGAGTCATATAACCACACTCATGTAAAATGACTACCCTGTCCTATGTTTTTTATCTGATTATATAACTCAGTTATAAACATAGCATTATTCAATTTTCCTGGTTTCTTTAATATGGTTGAATTCTGCAGATGCTGCAATCTCATCGATTTGGTTTTATGTGCTAAAGTTTCACTTAAAGTATGCTAAGGTGTAATTCTAGGTGTTCAAGATTTGGCAAAAATGCAGGCATGTCTTCTTGTAGGTTCAGTGGCAGCCCTTCTAATGTCAGCTCTACTAGATTTGGGCAGTCAGATAGTGGTTTCAGTGAAGGAACTTCATGTATAACAATGGTTTCTATCCACTGTTGTCAGTGAGTGATAGGCAATTGCTAGCATTAGCATCCTAACTTTAACTGAAAAATCAAAGCTTTTAACACATTAAAGCCAAACTGATAAGATTGCAACATCTGCAGAATCAACTTAAATTTGAAAACAACGGAGCAAAAGATAGCACTGAATATTAGAGAAACCCGGAAAGTTTTCGTCAATTCCCCTGCCTTCTCCTCTGTTCACTGAATCACTGCAGCCCAAAATGAAAAATTATAGGAGAACACAACAATCACCATATGATCAAATCAGAAATGAGGCTACGCATTATTCTACTTCGAAAAGTTTCTGGCAACCTTCCAGAATCAGAGTAATAAATTTCATTCTCGAAATACAAACACTAATAATATATTAACAGGTCGGAATACAAACTTCATTCTCGAAAGACAAATTTAAGGAACATGAAATTCACCATTCAGTTCCAGAATCAGAGTAGGTTAGCTTGAGTTATTTGATTATTAAGTAATGGTAAAATTGGAACAAAAATAAAATTACCACGATAATTTTAAAATACCACCATTTGAGTCAGTAATCATATAATCATTTATATCACCTCTTATGTTATCTAATTAACAAAATATTATCAGAATCTTTTATTATCTGTTAAACCAAATAAGGTGATGACCGGATTAAAAGGTAGATTATTGGAGTAATCCTCCAAGCCCCTAATCAATAGCAGCCTTAAATCAAATAGTGTATAATTATTTAAACAAATTACACGGTGAGATAGCAAACTGAACGTCTGCCCGGTCCTATAGCAGGTCCCCTTTGTATTCCCACTTGGGTGGGGGCGGCAGGATTTTGAATCTTTCAGGAATTTTAAAATGTGCCAATAAGAAACTTCTAAGCTCAGGCATAGCTCCCTCCGCTACTTTCAACTCCTTAAAAGTTACTCCAGAAAGAACCAGAATTTCAAGCCGTGGAAACCCTCCTTTGCTGCAGACCAGATTCCTTCCACAATAAACACCGGGGTATAAATAAAGAACTCTGAGGTTTGGCAAATTCTCCAATGTAAGCATGGGATCATCTTCGAGTATGCTAATATATAATTCTAGGTGTTCAAGATTTGGCAAAAATGCAGGCATGTTTTCTTTTAGGTTCAGTGTCCCCCCTTCTAATGTCAGCTCTACCAGATTTGGGCAGTCAGATAGTGGTTTCAGGGAAGGAATTTCACTTGTTGATATGTAAACCCGTAGAATTTGAAGGCTTTTCAGCTTGGCAATAGAATCAAAAGTGAACTCGTTTACTGCTTTACCATAACTTGATATGTGCAGCTCTCGAAGATTAACCAACCCTTTTGGATTAGTTTTAATCCAAGTCTCGGCCTGTATGCCCTTCAAAGTTTGAAGGTTTTTCAAGTTGTCTACCCAAAAATACCCTTCAAAATTTCCAATTAGATGTCTCAACTCTTTCAATTTATAAGTTTCATTTGGGAGCCTACTAAAACCTTGAATGAACAGAGTTTGTAGGTTCACGAAGTTGAGAATGAATGGTGGTACTGGAAAATCTTCAATTGTTGTTCCTCCTAATTTTAATTTTAAATACTTCAAGTGAATCAACTTGCCTATTTCTTTTGGTATAGTTGTAAGCCAGAGATGCGAAAGATTGAGCACTCTTAGTAACCTGAAGCTTGAGCACATTGACAATAAGCCTTCCCTTGCATTTTCATTATTGATCCCGACGAACAAAAGGGAGCGCAAGACTTTAGATTGTTGAAGCTGCAAGTAACTTTCAATTCCAGAATAAACAGCTTGTCGTCGTGTCCTCGAATGGTAAATTGAACCTTTATTTACCTCATAAATGTGAAAAAGGTTGAGCTCTTCTACCTTTTCAATTGCTAAATTCCGCAAAAGATCATGAACACGACATGTCAAAATCCTCTCTCTACGCATTTTATCTTTTTGAATCAAGCTCCTTCTAATCAATTCATTCAGGTAATAATAAGCCACATCTTCCATTATTTCTTTATTTTGCGGTATGAAACCCTCAACCACCCGCAGTTGAACTAGTCTACTTACCGGGATTTCATAGTCTTCTGGAAAATGACCCAAGTAGAGAAAGCACACCTTCAATTGTTAAGGTAAATCATTAAAGCTCAAAGACAATATGTAATTGATTTGATCATCCGAATCACGGTTTAAGTGTAGCCAAATGTAATCACGCACCGAACGCCACTCTTGTGCACTCTTTTTAGATAATAACCCACCCAATACAACAATCGCGAGTGGTAGACCCCCACATTTTTGCAATATTTCCTTTCCAATCTTCTCTATTTCTTTGGTTTCATTTGCCTTTCCACAGGTTTTTGCATAGAAGTCTTTGATAGATCTAATATGTATGGTCTTAAAGCTATTGATAACAAGCTGGAAGGAGACAGCAAGGCTCTCGGCAAATTGAAACAACTAAGAAAAACAACTCTCGTCAGAAAACTTTACCACAGTAGTCAAGTCAAGAGTAAATTTCAGCGATGTGCATGGGTTTCTGTCTCTCAAGATTACAATATCGAGGATCTTCTCCGAAGAATTATAAACTCTTTCAATTTCACAGATACGATAGATAAATTTAGTGAAGAAGAATTGAAGAGATTTCTTCATAATTCTTTG